AAAAAAAAAAAAAGTCCAAATACAGGGAAAAAAATGTTAATGGTAGCTGGAAGACGTTACTAAAGCATGCTGGAAAAAATCTGGAGTGTCTTAGACTGCTTGGATTTGAACCTGACTCCATGAATTGGTATGCTGGAAAATATTTAACAACCAGTTCGCCAGGAAGTCTCTGGTTTGTAGCATTTGCTAATTTCACTGGTGTAATACTCCCACTGTAGCTGATTTCAAGCTGCTAACCTGAGATCGCTGAATAAAGAGCTAGGAGGAGATGCACAGTCAGCTCTTATAAGCCAATGCAAGTGGGCTCTAGCCCACTGCTGGCTCCCCTACTTAGCAGTGATGTGATCTGAAGCAAGTCACTTAACTTACAATCCTCAGATGTCCCATAATGCAGATCCTAACACACCTACTTCAGTGAATTGTGAAAATTAAAAGACATTATCCATATACAGCACCTACACCATCTCTGGCATATAGCACATGATCTAGAAAAGTTAGCTATTACTATTTATAAAGTAGTGGATGTGGATATCCTTCCAGCCTCTAAAGATAACTTTTATTTTATTTAAAGTAAATACCACACGAACATGCTGTTCTCTAACCTCTTCACAAAGAGCTTCTAGGTGGAGTGCCTCCAATTTCTGGGTCATTTCCTTCCGCCGGGTCTTGAACCAACCATCAAAATTTGGGGATTTTAGAAAATGCCTATAAAAATAAATTTTAAGGTTAGAGCACAGTGCTCATAACACCAAGGTTGCCAGTTTGATCCCCGCATGGGCTGCTGAGCTGCGCCCTCCACAACTAGATTGAAACAACTATTTGACTTGGAGCTGATGGGTCCTGGAAAAACAAACTGTTCCCCAATTAAAACAAAAATTTTAAAAATAATAATAATAAAATAAATTTTAAAACTGCAAGGTTTGATCATGACTTACTTCCTCTCTTCAATACCTTTCCTACCTACAGCTCAAAGAATCATGTGAAACAATGGAATTTTGAATAAAAAAATATAAGTCCAGCTTTTAGGGTTTTGGTTTTCTTTTATTTTTTTATTTTTAAATAAAGATCTAGATATGGGTGAAAAACAAAAAAGAAGGCTCACCGGTAAAGTCCAATCCAATCGCCTTTAATTCTAGAGGTCAACTGAGGTCCTGTTTTTTCAAGTGTTTTCATAAATTCTTCTGGAAGGAATTGTCTTAATTGGGGTGGACTCTAGAAAAAAAGGACATACTATATCTAAAAATTAAAAATGGATATGTTCACAGAAGTTAATTATGGTTAGAGAACTCAAATAGGAATTAATTGAATATATACATACCTTCCATGGAGAAATACTTTTTTGCAAAGGCATCAAGCTTGCCACATACCTTTCCTAAAACCAGGAAAAAAAGTTAATCAAGTTAGGTGTTCTTAGAGAGTCTTTAAAAACTTTTAAGTAGACCTACTTTAAAAACATGGGTTTCCAAGTTTTTCATCATATATCTTTCAACGGATATCAACACCATCACTCCCCACAATAGGTACAGCTAAATTCAGATTGAGTTGAGAAGTCAGACTTACAATAAAAATTTAACTAAATCTTAGATAATCCAAGAGATTACACATTTTTAATGATAATAATTAACTTTACTGAATAACTATGCGCCAGAAAATATACTCAACATTTTACATGCATGATCTCTTTTAATCCTTGCAACCATCCTATGTGGCAGGTATTATTGGGAAACTAAGGCTTCAAAAGGCTAAGTAAGCTGCCTAAGTCCACACAGTTTAAACTTGAATTCAGGTCTACTTTACTTCAGCCCATGCATTACAGTAAAGTTCATTTACTTAAACAGATTTAAATGAAACAAAATAAATTTTGTTTGGGGAACATTTCTTCCCAAAATATAATAACAAAGATCTCCAGGTTGCCCCCATATGATATTCACAGATAGATTACTTTACTTTAACAACTACATGGAGTCTTTCTCCAATGCAGTCTCCAGATTAGGACCACATCGTGGTACTGCCTGATACTGTGAGGCTTCTTTTAAATGTTTTGATATGATATTCCACTAAATTTCATGGAATAACCATATCATCCAGTTATTTATTCCATATTTATTAAGTGCTACCACATAACAGACTGAGGAAAAGATAACAGACAGATAAGGCCCCTGTCATCAAGGTGCTAGTTTCATGGATATCATGTCAAATTGTGTTCAAGAAAATAAAATCAGAAAAAAAAGCTACAGGATAACCTGGAAAGAGACACAAAATGCAACAAATTATATAACATTTTCCTGCAATTATCTCATTTAAGATATTCACAACAGCCCTGAAAGATATTTAGGAAAAGTGGAATTAGCCACATTTTCTAGATAAAGAAATTGAGGGTCAGAGAAAGTGACTTCCCAAAGTTACACAGTTAATAACAAAAATAAGGAGTCCTGGTCTCTTACAAAGGGCTCTATTTTTAATCACTAAATACATGAGCAGGCAAAACACACACCTTAACATAAGGTTTTGGTGAATGGGAAAAACATTCATACACCCTTCAATAAACCATCAAATTAAGCAAATATGTATGTTAACTTACTAATGGAATGATAAAGCTTTGTGTCAGTTCCAAGAAATAGCGTCGCAGAATAACACTTTGAGCCTCAGAAGGGCGTTTCTGTTGTACACCCTTAAAAGAAGAAACAATAAGAACCTATATTCTAGTGTTAGGGAGTATAAAACAATAGATAATTATAGAAGTTCAACTGATATGTAAAAAAATATATAGTTTACTTGATATAAAACAAACCCTAGAACTTCATCTTAAACTAATTTAATCTGAAGTTCATTATGCAATAATACTGTAAAAAAGAAATCCTTAGAGCAAAACATAAGGTAGTCATCCCACACTGAAAAATATCAGTTCACAATGAAGACTGTATTTCATGCTTCATGTATTAATACTATTAACATTTTCCAAAAAAAATGCTATCTATTCCCTATTGTTAAATGCTAAGCTACCTCACGGTAGACTCCATGACTTTTTCACTGTAACTTCCAAGTTTCTAGGAAGATTGGCACCAGTTTGTAGCTGCAGCCCCCATATTTCAAGCCCATAATTGCTGCTACTTCAGTCTCCTGATTTCTATGAAGCTTTGGTTCAAAAGAGAGACCTCATTTTACATTACTATACATAAAACAATATTGCATAACTGGGTATTATATATATGAAATAGGAAATTTAATAATATGAGCCAATAATTACCTTCTGCAATTGTTTTATGATCTCGTCATCTCTACTTAGATATGGCTTATAAGAAGTATAAACTCCTAAGAAGTAAAGAAAACAAGGTAAACAGTTTGTTTGTTTGTTTGTTTTTACCAAGTACCCATGAGGTATATATTTAAAAATTAACTAAAGTCAATACCAGGTTTAGAATCCAGAGTCTTTAGGTTCTTCAATTTTTTCACTTTAACCTGCTTAGGAATTTCACCTGAAGGAAACATCATAAAGAGTCTTATAAGTAATCAAATTTCAAAAAGGAAATGAAGAATAAAAAGAAAAAATGAATAAACAAAGAAAAAAAGCAGAAAACACATTTTTTAAAGACATTAAGCAATTATTCAAATTTCACATATCACAAAACCAAATTTTTATAGATTAATAGTTTACCGACTATTACTTAGGGATATTGTACTAATGTATTCTTAACATCAATTAATATTCAAGAGTTTATTTCTGGTACTTTGAAACTGGATAAAGGAAACACTGGATTATTACAGCATTACAGAAATAATTTGTGTAAACTATATAAAATGGGTACTTGATCTTTCATTAATATATATCAGTTTAAAATTTTCCATTTTTATCAAATTGTAACTTAAAATATTTATGGCAAATACATAACATTGAATATTTATGTGCCAAATATGAATAAAATACCCTTTAAGAATAAGTGGAATTGAAAGCAACTCCTAAATTAGTATGCAGATGTAGTATTCAAAGGTTCTTTTCTGTCACCTCCCCAAATTCTTTTGCATTGTAGAAACTTACGCTGCCACCAGGTGGTGATAGTGTATGCCACAAGCACAGGTCTGAGTTACAGATGGACAGAACTCCTGAGCAGAGCTGCTGTGTAGCAGATGCAGTGGTTTTAGTCTTTGAGGTCAAGATAAATTACAATCTAAGCCACCGTTCTAAATGGCAGAAAAATACCTCAAGACAAACACTTGAAAGTGTCATAAACATGCTAAATTTAAAAGACATTCTCTTTTCCTTTCTCTGTCCTTCTCTATCCCTCCCTTGGTCCTAAGTTTTTCGGTTTTTGTTTTTAAAGATTTTTTTATTTTTTTTATTGGGGAGTTGGGGGAGGGGAACAGCGTTGGGGAATCAAGGAAGGGGAACAGACAAGTTGCTGTCCTTTTGTTCTTCAGTCTAGTTGTGGAGGACATTGCTTCACTGGCCCATGTTGGTATCATCATTGCGCTCTTCCTGGGTAAGGCAGATGGGTCGCCGGGCCCTGGACAGCCGCTCAAGGTGGCCCTTGGCAGCTCACACTGGCTGCCAGCCACTCACGGTAGCTTTACAACAGCCCACTGCAGTTTCACTACAGCCTACACCATCGCCGGCGAATCACGGTAGCCCAGCTCTAGGTCGAGCTGTAGTTCACCATCTTAGCTACAGAGGGCACAGTGTCACTGGCCCTAATGTGGGATCCGAACCGGGTTCCTGCTGCTCAGAGCTGGCGTCCCAAGCCAACTCTTAACCAACGCACCACTCGGTCATCCCGGTCCTAAGTTTTTTAAATGGTAACTTCACCTGCCTGAAGAGATTTCTCAGAGCAGCAAGAATATTAGTTGGCAAGATATCACAAGAAAAGAAACTGCAGACTGATATCCATCATGGATACAGAGGTAAGAATCCTCAACAAAAATAGCAAATTGAATCCAGAAACATAAAAAAGGACTATACACTATAACCAAATGGGGTTTATCCAAGGAATGCAAGTTTGGTTTAACATTTAACAAATTAAAAAGTAAATTAATATAATAAAGCATGTTAACAAAGGACAAAATTACATAATGATCTCCATAGATACAGAAAAAGTGTTTAACAAAATTCAACACCAATTCATGATAATCACGCTCAACTAGGAACAGAAAGGTACTGCCTCAACCTGATAAAGGACATCTATGAAAAACCTACAGTTAACATCATAAGTAGACCTGTATTTTGAAAACTACAAAACATTGCTGCAAAAAATTAAAGATCTCAACAATGGAGAGACATTCCAAGTTTCTGAACTGGAAGACTCAGTATTTTTCAGATGGCAATTCGCCCCCAAATTGATTACATATTCAACACAATCCCTATTAAAATCCCAGCTGGCTTTTTTGTAGAAATTGATAAAGTGATCTTAAAGTTTATACTGAATGCAAAACACCAAGAATAGCCATAATAATTTTGAAAAAGAAAAACAAACTTGGAAGACTCACATTTTCAGATTTCAAAACTTACTATAAAAGTACAGTATTCATGACATTGTATTATAAAGATAAGGCATATAGATCAGTGCGACAGAAACAAGAGTTCAGAAATAAACCTTTCTTTATTGCCAATTGACTTTCCACAAAAGTACCAATGCAAAATCAGTGGAAAAAGATAGTCTCTTCAACAAATGGTGCTAGGACAACTGGGTGTCACTCATGCAAAAAGAGATGATTTTAGACCCTTAACCCACATCATACACAAAAGATAACTCAAAATGGTTCACAGACCAAAATGTTAAACACTAACACAACAAAACTTTTAGAAGAAAACATAGGAGAAAATCTTTGTGACCTTGAGTTAGGCAATGCGTTCTTACACATAATATCAAAAGTCCAATCCATAAAAGAAAAAAAATTGATTAGCTAGATTTACCAAAGTTAAACATATTTTTGTGGTTACCAGAGGCAAAGGGTATTGGGTAAGGGTGGGGAAATTGGATTAAGGTGATCAAAAGGTACAAACTTTGAGCTATAGGATAAATAAGTACTGGGGATAAAATGTACAACATGATGACCGTAGTTAACACTGCTATATGGCATATTTGAAAGTTCTTAAGAGAGTAACTCCTAAGAGTTCTCATCACAAGAAAAAAACATTTTTTTTCTTTCTTTTAAAAATCTGTATGAGACGATGGATATTAACTAAATTAGTTGCAGTAATACTTTCATCATATATGTAAGTCAAGTCATTATGCTGTACACATTAAACTTACACAGTGCTGTTTGTCAATTGTATCATAATAAAACTGGAAAAAAGTAAACACGTTTGTCCTTCAAAATACACCATTAAGAAAACAAAAAGAGAAGCCACATATTGTGAGAAATTATTTGCAAATCATATACTGAAAATAGCCTTGTGTCCAAAATACATAAAGATCTCTTACAACTAAATAATAAAATAACCTAGTTAAAAATGGGCAAAAGATTCAAATCAACATTTCATCAAAGAAAATAAATGAACAACTAATAATTAGATGAAAACAAGTTCAACATCATCAGTCACTAGGGAAACACAAATTACAACTACTCTTTTAAGTTCACTAAACGGCTACAATGAAAAAGACAGACAATAGGGGCCGGCCGAGTGGTGCAATGGCTAAGAACTAGCTTGGGATGCCAGAGGGCCCCGGTTCGGATCCCACAAATGAGGGCCAGTGACACTGCCCTCCACAGCTAAGATGCTGAACAACAGCTCAACCTGGAGCTGGGCTGCCGTGAGTCGCCGGCGACGGCATAGGCTG